GCCCTCTCCTTTTTACATTATTCATTGAGCATTTACTAGGTGCCAGGCCAGGACCATTCCAGGAGCTGGGGCTGTTGTCTAGAACAGTATTGGTAAGTCCTTCTTCTCATCAAGTGTACAGTCTGATGGGGAAATTGACTCCCCAAAATCACATAAGATGGCGATACATACTATAGGGAAAACAAAACGGGTGATATGAGTGGGAGTGATGGGGAATTATTTAGATTAGGTGGCCATGATTGGCCCCACTAAGGAGGTAACATTTAAGATAGCCCAGGATAACAAGCGAATGTCAGCATTTGAAAATCTGGTGGAAGGCATTCCAGGCAGAGAGGACAACACGTGCAAAGGGCCTGGGGCAGGGGTGAGTGTGGCACGTTTGAGGAATGGCCCCTGAGTTGGAGCAGACTGGATGAGGAGAGAAGTGGTAGGTGGTAGTCGGGGTGCGATGTACAGGGCATGTCAGGCCACAGGGAAGAGTTTGGAATTTATTGGAAGCCTTTGAGGACAGGGATCCATATGATGATTTCAGATCCCTCCGGCTGCTGTGTGGGGAGGGACCTGCAAGGGGCAGCAGAGATGCCAGTGGAAAAGCCCCTGCAGTGAGCAGGGTGGGAATTGTGTGTCCTGGTCCAAGGTGGGGGCAGTAGCCATGGGTCTTAGAGACCTTTAAAAGGAAACCCCCATGCTCCCCACAGCAGTCCCCCCGAGCTACCCCCCAACTGTGGCAACCACCGGCAGGATAGTGTCTTTTCTGAGCCTTTGCAAAGCTATTCCTTCTGCCTAGAATGCCCTTCCCTGTTTTGTTCACCAATTTAAACATCTTTCGTGGCCACCCTTGTCACCTTGCCTCACTATTTTCTGTCTCTGTGGCCGTGTCCCCGCCGGCTCAGAACCCCTGAAGGACCAGGACCAGGACCAGGACCAGTCCTGGTTATCTTTGTACCCCAACACTCAGCCCTGGGTCAGGAACACAGTACCTGCTCACTAAACGTGTGAGAAATCCTACAACCATGCAGCGGCTCCCACCCGGTCTAGCCCTGGGCTAGCATACCACTCCTATTATTCTTACACCATTTTTTTGTTTGTTTTGTTAATCCTCATTTCAGGAATTTTTTTTTTCATTGCTTTTCAGAAAGTAGAAGGGAGGGAAGGGGAGAGAGGGAG